TACTAGTGACGTAGTGGGAGGAGTCAACAGTTTGGGACTGACAAACAACTATTAAAAACAATTATTATTAAATACTATTATCACTATTATTAGTACAATGTGATACTATTAACAGATACACTCCTTATAACAGACACCTCCTCCTCTACTCCAGCAGACACTATTGACTAGTGACTGTATGTAATATACAGTATATGAACATTAGCCCATTAGTATCAGCTAATGATTGATCAGTTAATGTGTGTCTCATTATAATGTGGAGGAGGTGACATTATGTTAAACATTAATTGATTTAGTGAGGACTAAAACTAATGTTGTCTTTAACATTAAAACACAACTTACATGTACTTAGTTGTGTTTTAGGATAAAAAGAAACTAAGTAAGTTTTAAAACGTAATAAAAATTGGGGGTTCAGAACTAATTTTCGGCTTCTTTTTGAAAATGCTCATAACTCAAAAATTATTTGTCGGAATCACCTCAAACTTTATACACAGCATAAGAACATCAATATGTATCAGAAAATGTAATAAAAATTGGGAGTCATTCTGGAGCCATTTTTTGGTACCAGTCACCTACAACACAATATTAATTAATTAACATAAACTCCGCCCATCAACCATTATTAGCCACACCCCTCACCTTCCCAAATAATGTATTCTTATTATTAAGTTCATCAGTTCTTCCCAGCGTTATAAAGAACTGTGAGGTATTATCATTCTTTCCTCCATTGGCCATTCCCACTAGACCACGTCTATTGAACTTGAGTCTCTGATGAAACTCATCCTGTTAATTAGAGTGGGTGTGGTTAAAGGGTTGTCATGGTAACGATGAACTCACTTTAAATGGCGAACCATAAATAGATTCACCACCTGAAGAGAAGATAAAAAGTATTTGTACAAATAATTATTAATAATTAATACCTTCTCCTGTACCAGTGGGATCACCACCTTGAGCTACAAACTCTAGAGAGAGAGAGAGAGGGGGGAGAAGGGAGAGAAATTACATGTACATGTAGGAGAGCAACGTAACATCAATAGGTCATTCTACTTAATTAATAATTATAACTCCACCCACTAATTAATAATAATTAATCCATTACCAAAAACGACTCTGTGGAATATGGTATCATTATAATAATCTTCTAAACACAATTGTATGAAGTTACGACAGGCCAGAGGAGCCTCTTTGGACCACAGTTCAATATCAATATCACCCAGTGTGGTCTTTAATAGTACCTGAGGGGAGGGGCCAGTAGTCACTAATACAGCTGCTGCTGGATTAACTACCTTTCCTTTAGTAGGGGGCTCTGTTATATATATGGAACTCATTTCTTGAGCAGTTGAGCTCAAATCAGGACTACTCTCCGTATATCTACTCAGTATATTCAAATCACGTGTTTATTAATTATTTTTGAAAACTAATCATCAAGACCTATAGCAAATAAACATTAGAAAATGAAAAAAAAATTATTTTTAAGACACTCAAAACAAAAACAATGCAGAATGCATTCAAAAATATTACTATTATTAAAGGGTAATATCATAAAGGGATTTCAGTTTTTTAGGTATTTCGTCAGCAGCTGCACGGCCATCTGTCTCCCTCACAGCATCTATCAAAGTCTTCCATGTTCTACTAGTTGCATTATCTTTACCCTCTAGCCATGCTTCTAAGGTCTTCCTCAAGTGGTCATCTGCATCACCACCACTATTTGCAATGACATTGAGTTTTGGCTGATATAAACCTAACTTTAGGCCCAAGTTATTCCAATTTACTGGACCAAACTGAGCTTCTTTTAAAACTGTTTGTACCATTGTAACAGACGCTCCAACTATCTGTTAACCAAACTTTATTCTTAATCAACACGAGACTCAACTGAGCTCAAAAACCAACTAACAAAAACAAAACTAACTCACAACTAAAAAAACACACTTATATAGACCTTATAAATGTCCAGAAGGTTCTATAACATACAAGAATACTTTACATGATTGTTCTAGAATATACTTGAATAAACACATAATATATAATTACAATAGTACACAGAGAGTTCCGGATCCATTTAGAAACAACTTCTTACATTTCCTCCCTTCCCCTCTGGCACGAAGTGCTCTTCCTCTCCAATCTAGAAAGTGCATCTGCATTTGCATTTGCTACCCCTTTCCGATGTTGTATAGTGAAATTATATGGTTGCAGAATCAAACTCCATCTAGTCAATCTTGCATTCTTCTCTTTAAACTTGTGTAGCCATTGAAGAGCTCTATGAATCC